TTCCCAAAACCCCGATTCTATTGGATGCTAAGTTGACGGGGCAGTAAGCGCTGACCAGAGGGCAGGGTGCAATCCGATCCCAGAGAACCGGGGGCAGGGTGCGGATTGCTCCCGAATCGGCTTAGCCAACACACTGGTGGTGAGAGGCTGTAGACTTTTGGGCATCATTAGTGATGGATGATTCCCAGCCAACGAAAGAGTGATGACTAAATATCTGCGTATCATCCGGGGTCCTGAAAATTTGTGCCCCGGATGCAAATTTTTCGCCTGTCTCCTGGTGAAGCGACGCAGCGATTCAATCTCTGAGATTGTGCATCATCACGTCAAAGTTTGACGGTCAAACTCCCGCTGCACGAGTCGTACAGCCTGTTGTACAGTACGACAGGCTCCCGTGATGGACGGTGAGTAACAACAGTTACTAATCATGAAGTGACTGCACCTCGACTCGGGGGTAGTACCCACGGGCCTAGGAATCCCATGGCCGGATCCTAGGCTAGGAACAAGCAAGAATGAAGATAAATGAGCCATTTACACGGCGTAAAGCGCACGCTTGAAGCATAAATTACGCTAACTCTGCTCACGGGAGTCGCAATTTGATTACAAGATGAAACCTATCGGTCGAACGGTAACGCCGCTGGCCTTGGGAGAGTCTCCATCGGCAACTCCACACAAACATTCCCCCGAAAACTTCGCCTCGAAGTTGAGCTGATCAACCCAAGAAAGAGGAGGCTCCAATATAAGAGGAGACTGCTTGTGACGAACAGTGTTCGTCGAACACTCGGCAGTTCACGGGAAATACAGAACATATGTCGCATGAAATAATATGCAGCTCATGATGTAGCCAGTCGATTCGACGGGAACAAACACTTCCGCCAAGGTTGGAGGAAATAATTTTTTCGTAATTTTCGGAAAATGACGGGAGAATAAATATGTGGAGAAATAGAAAGCTTTTGTCAACTTACGATTCTCGACATGGGATTCTGTTATTGTCCACAGAACTCTCCTGGGCATGGTCTGCGTGGGACCGTGAATAACCATTCGAGGTTGGAAGAGCCCGGACTCCAGGCGAGAGTAACCAGAAAACGAAAAGTTCACGCCTGGCTGGATTGAACGACACAAGTAAGGAGGCCTCGTCAAGAAAGTAGACGGAAAATGGTTACGGGCCCTGTTGTATAGGGTGGCAACTTGCAGCTTGCAAGAGACGCAAATGATTATGTATTCGAATGTTTAGGCTTGGAGACTTTGGAACTCAACACCACGTCATTATTGAGCATTAGATTAGAGTCTTACTTCAAGACAGATGGTAGAGAGTGGCTGAAGAGTAGAGAGGGTTGGTATACATCGCAGTGCTTGTCAGTTGAGGAAGATCCTCAGCCGTCAAGCGCTCAGTCACTATAAGTATCACCTAGGTGTTATCATAGTACTCCTCTACTCGAGCAAAAAATATGTATATCACTTGATATAGTTGGTCTTAAGTATTATCCACAATAGCTTTACTAGCTTGAATTTGTGCGACTTATCCGATAAGTCTTATCGCACCACTCAGGCTATTGTGTTCTCATTCAGTTCAGTGTGTGGCTTGTCGCCCATATTCTTGCCGCTTGGCTCGTTTAAACGCCACTTCTGCTACGCAGAGCTCAACTTATTTAGAGATCTACTATAGTGTTCAATAAGCTGATAGTGTAGATAGTCTTAGTAGATAGTGTATCGGGAGGCATCAGTATCAGTCAGAGTCTCTGTCCCAGAGACTCTCTGGCAGAGAGCACCGAATTGACTCTCTCGCAGTGGAGGCAAGCAAGGGCGACAGGCAGATTAGCTATATGTCGCACGCAGACGCAATCATGTGTGGGCAGGCGCCGACTCCACATGCCCTTCCGCCGAATAAGTATACAGAGAATAGCAGTGTGAGTAATGGTTCACAATCAAAACTGTTCGACGAACAAAGAATCGCGTAAAGCGGGATGAACATATTTCATATGATGAAGATGTATAACACGTGTTTTACCGTTTGGAGCATTCCGTAACGTCGCTACTACTTATGCGGAGCGATGCACGGTGCATGATGCACCCACCGTTGCAAATTCTGGGAAGATTTCCAACAGAAATTCGAGGTTGAGACCTCATAAAACCTGTAGCAACGTATCATGATATCGCTCCATTACCGCCTACTCCTAACTAAATGACTCAACGTTATTGGACAACAGACATCTTGCAGTAATATGGTAGACCGCTTACGGCAAATGACTAATCGAGGAAAGTTGAAATTCCCAATATTACACTCGAGCGATATTTCACAGATCAGAATGTAACGACAACAATAAACTGTTCCGACTTCCAAAAAAATACATTTTAAATGAAGGAAAAAATTTCCCTTCATCTCAGTCAATCAGTGTTCATTCGCAACATCGTCGTGCCATTGTAGAGTTGTTGCGTCTAGTGCGGCATCATGTTTGAACGCATAGTTACCAACTATG